AGAAAAGAAGGATTACACTGGATAAATTGATGTTTTTCTTGGAGTTTTAAAGGAGATCAGGGATCAATCCCATCTCTTTCTGAAGTTTGTAAATCAACAGACTATAAGTTGGTCCCCCAAAAACTGAAGAATTGCTAGTGTTATTCCTATTTTTAAAGAAGGTGATAAGGGTTGTCCTAGAAATTATATATTTGTTATTCTTACTTCTGTGGTGGGAAAACTTATAGAGTCTGATGAAAGCTTTAGAATACCATCTAATAATATATTTATAAAAAATATCAACATCAATTCACTAAATGAAAATCTCCCCTTACTTATCTTTTAACTTTTTTTCTTTTAGTATGTTACATGTTAATCTGAAAGGTGTCACACACACAATTAGCTAAAAAAATCACATTAGTGAGAGTTTGAGGAAAGATTGGTTGATTGAACTTTTGGGTGGCTGAATAAGAGAAAGCAAAAGGTAGTTGTAATATAATCCAGCCAAACTGGACCTATGTTTGGGGAAAGATTGGTTGATTGAACTTTTGGGTGGCTGAATAAGAGAAAGCAAAAGGTGGTTGTTAATGTAATCCAGCCAAACTGGACCTATGTCATTAATAATGTACCTCAGGGGTCAGTGCTATGACTTTTGCTTATTCTTATTTGCAATAATGATAGGAAAATAATTAGTAAACTTGTATTTGCTGATGACATTAAGCTCTTGTATATTTCTAGCTGTATGATGATGACGATGACATATTAGAGAATACATAGAATAGATTGGCAAGTTAAACAAATACTTAGCAAATGACCTTTCACAATTGTACATACAAGGCAATGCAACTGAGTCACCGTAATTTAGGTGACATTTAATACAGATGAGAACACAATGACTGAAAAAAAGGACTTTAGCACAGTGGTAGATAAGTCACTGAAGCAATCTAAATAGTCCTCTGTTGCTAGCAATAAAGCTAATAGAATGTTAGGATGTATTTACAGACAGTGATTTCAAGTCAAAAAAGGTAATTATTTCTTTATAAAAATCATTAATTAGGATTTACCTGGAGTACTGTTTACAGTTTCTGTTTTCTTATCTAGGACAAGATGATGACTTATTGGAAATGGTATTATTGATTCTGAGATGGAAGTGTTACCTAATGGAGATAACTTAAGATCTCATAACTTACTTTCTCTTGAGAGAAAAGAAAACAGGTAATCTTATTTCAACAATCAAAAATAGTACTCTTTTAAGAGTGGAATTCATCAATAAAACTAAGCAATGAAAAAAGTAGATAAAAATTATTTGTACACTCTTACTAAATGCAGTTATTTTGTAACGTTTCAGCTTAGGCCCACTTCAGGCAAAGAACAAAATACAACTGATTTTCTCACCACGGTCAGTATTATTTTCTTCTTTGCCTGAAGTGGGCCTAAGGCTAAAAGGTTACAAAACAAATCAATTTAGTAAAAGTATAGAAACCATTAAACAACAACTTGATAAGATCAAGGCCTTGTATTTCTTTGTGAAGGGTTATGAAGACAACATTAGAAGAGAACACAAGTCTTGTTTAAGCTTGTGAACACAGCCTCCAAATAAGAAGCAAAAGGCCCATGTTCAGGAGATGAATATTTCTGAGCCATATTATGTTCTCAGATTATATGTTCAGTACAGTTCTTTTAAACAACCATCAGGTTCAGCCAGTGTAAGAGATTTTGGTTACAAAGCTAAAAAACAACAACTTATAATAAAACTTTTAAAACAATAAAAACTAAGTATATCATACATTTTAACTAATACTATTAAAGACACAACAGAGTATAATTTACTTATAGAACACGTATGCTAGTGGTTTGTTTCATGCACTATTTCATAATGCTTGAAGACCTTAATATCAATAACGCAAAACATATTATAATCCTCCATAACAAAATTTTTAAAGCCCATTAAATGGCACTGATAATAACTTTAGAGCAACTTCACACCCAAGATAAATTACTACACAAATGTTACTGTTTAACTATAGAGTCAGGTAGCAGAACAGTAAAGACAGCCCAGCAAAAGTTAAAACTTTTCTTACCTGAACATGTATTTCTGAAAGACACTCACCTCTATGCAAGGAATTGTTACACTCCTCGGGCATCTGCCTATAATGAGATTTGCATACCACTAGCCTTGAGCTAACTCCCACCTAAAAATCATGTGTTTAACTTGAACTGCACTAGTGCATGATGACATCATCATGCAATAATAACTCTCCACTAATAGAAGGGTAACATAACCTCCTTTTACAGTAACTCCCCTTAAGCATTTGCATTCAAAATAACTTCATTTTCAGGTGAGACAAGAAAAAAATGCACCAAAAGTGGGGAGGATGCACTATAATCACCACTACCAGTACTTTGCACTATGGTGAGGAATTCTCAAAGGTCCACCATCCCAGCAACTAGAAACTGGAAAGTGGCAAGGGTCTCCAATGCTCCACTTGAAGAAGTGGGGATTTTTCATGGGAAGACCCAGAAAAGTGCCCATTGGATGCTTACAGAAGAGGTCTTTTACTGGATAGAGTGCAATGGGTGACTGTGAAACTCTATTTTTAAAAGCCAGCAAGTATAAGCCAAAGAAGTGTGTGCCGACTTTTTCTGTGATAGTCCATGGAATAATATGGTCTGGATCAGGCAATTGAGTAGTGTTAGTACCAAGAGAATACCTCTAGTAGTCTTGTCGATTACCACATCTCAACAGTGGACACTGGTAGAGCCAGGGCAGATGGGTTGAACACTTTCCGTTACCCCTGGTCCAATGAAAATTTTGAGAAATAAGCACACCTTGGGCCAATATGAGTACAGGTTGCATCTCAGCCAATGGTTTTGGAGATCTACACAAAATTGATGGCATCCTGATTGCTCAGGTACAAATTCTTATATACCATGTCATTCCTTTACAAACAAAAACTTCCAGCAAGACAGTGATCACAAGCATACAGCAAATGTGGTGAAATGGTACCTGGAGTAAATAAGGTCAATAGAAACTTAAAACCATGGCTTGGCCTGCACAAAATCCCAAAATGAATATCATTATAGTGCAGTGATGGGATTCAGCCGGTTCGCACCGGTTTGTGCGAACCTGTTCTTAGAATTTAATGACCTCCACG